AAAAGAAAAAAAAAGTGAAGAAAAAAATTGTTGGAGACGCCCGGACTCGAACCAGGGACTTCGAGGTCGGAAGTCAAGTGCGTTACCGATGTACCAAAATATTTCCCATAGAGATTACACGTAAACGGAAAATGGAATTATCAAATCCCACTTTGTAAGTGAAATATGAGCATGATCCCGGCATCTGATCGAAAATTAAAGGGCACACTTACGATAGCATATTGACTCAGCTACAACATACTCAAAGCTCAGCGTAAACGAAGATAAAACGACGGAGATATTGCTCGCGAAAGACAAGAATGTAGAAACCAGTTTTGAGAAAAAGTCATGTCCCATAGAGAATACACGCAAAATGTGAAAAATTGACATGCCTCCTTTAATCGCAAAAATACGCCATGATGCCATTGTTCAAATGAAATATCGTGTGAAATACATTCGTAGAAAATATTCTCAGCTAAAACATATCAAAATTTGAAAGAAAATTGATCAACATTTACAGAGATACAATCAATTTTCCAAAAATCTGCTAACGTCATAATATGCAAATTGAAATTTTAAGTTCGGAGGCCATTATGATGACGTCATGAGTTAATTGAGGGTCAAATGAGACATGAAATCATATCTCCGACTCATGATCTATCTAAATATGAAAAAAATTGGGGGTATCTATCCATTCTGAAGAGTTAAAATGAATTTTGTATAGGCTTGTTTTTGCACATGTAATGTGGATAGGGATAATGCAGATCCGCGTGTGCTGTAAACTTTGACGGACGCTCATTGCGTTATCACTGGTCAGAAAAAGGTGAACAAGGTATCAAAATGCTTGGAAAAATGTGGTTGATATGATAGAGAAAATTTGGCGTTTCCATGTTGTAAAATGTCAGTACGCGCACTTACGCGCGGAAACGCGCGCAAAAAAGTGCTCTCGCGCAAAATCTTGAAAATGCTTACAATTGCCTGAAACGTGTGCAAAAAAAATTTGGAACGAATTTGAGCATTTTAAAATTTTAATGCGCGCGTACGTGCGCGTCGAGGTGCGCGCGCAAATTTTGTTGACATTTTTAGTTGAACTTTGACCTGAAGTTGATGTATACCAAATATGGTTTATTTTTGAAGACTCGTTATCGAGATATGATAATGACTTGATTTTTACAAAATGGCGCCTGGATGACGTCACGATGACCCCATGAACTTGAAAAAGGTTTCGGGAACTTGATATTATAGGGCCTAATGACTATCAGAAATTTGAAGGAATTTGACCAAGTCGATTTCGAGTAAACGTATACACAAAAAAAGTGTACGGAAGAAATAAAAATAAACTAGAATTTAAATCGTCACGAGGACGATTAAGGTGGTCTGTCTTCAAGTCTTATGATAGATTATAATATTTACTATATTGAGAAAGGGAGAAGTTATATAGACATGTAAACAATGATGATCATCATGATGATCATGATGATGATGATCTTGATAGTAATGGGGATGACGATGATTATGATGATGATCATGATGATGTTGATGATTATCATCAACAGACCACGATGACATCAGACTGAAAAAAATGAGAGAACATTTAGATAGTATATAGTCTCAGCTACAACATACTCCAAAATCAACAAAAATCAAGCCGAAATAACGGCGATATTGCTCGCAAAAGACAAGAATGTAGAATCCAGATTTGAGAAAAAGTCATCTCCCATAAGGATTACACGCCAAAAGTAATGGATCAATTAGTGATAATAGGGTAATATTAAAGTAAATATGGTTGTTTATTACATTATTTGCGATTGTACGTGTTTTAATATTCAAAGGAGATGGTACAGTGAAAGGTCAAAAAGAAAAAAAAAGTGAAGAAAAAAAATTGTTGGAAACGCCCGGACTCGAACCAGGGACCTCGAGGTCGGAAGTCAAGTGCGTTACCGATATACCAAAACATTTCCAATAGAGATTACACGTAAACTGAAAATAGAATTCTCAAATCCCACTTTGTAAGTGAAATATGAGCATGATCCCGGCATCTGATCTAAAAATAAAGGGCACTTTTGTGATAGCTTATTGTCTCAGCTACAACATACTCAAAGCTCAGCGTAAACAAAAATACAACGACGGAGATATTGCTCGCAAAAGACGAGAATGTAGAATCCAGTTTTGAGAAAAAGTCATGTCCCATAGAGAATACACGCAAAATGTAAAAAATTGACATGCCTCCTTTAATCGCAAAAATACGCCATGATACCATTGTCAAAATGAAAATTCGTGGTGACTGTATTTGTAGAGAATATTCTCAGGTAGAACATATCAAAATTTGAAACAAAATTGATTAATATTTACAGAGATACAATCAATTTTCCAAAAATCTGCTGACGTCATAATATGCAAATTGAAATTTTGAGTTCGGAGGCCATTATGATGACGTCATGAGTTAATTGAGGGTCAAATGAGACATGAAATCATACCTCCAACTCATAATCTATTTAAATATGAAAGAAATTGGGGGTTATCTATCAATTCTGAAGAGTTAAAATGAATTTTGTATAGGCATGTTTTTGCCCATGTATTGTGGATACAGATAGCGCAGGTCGGCGCGTGCGTTCAACTTTGACAGCCGCTAATTGCGGTATTACTGGTCGGAAACAGGTAAACAAGGTATCAAAATGCTTGGAAAAATGTAATAAATATGATAACAGAAAAAATTTGGCGATTCTATGTTGCAAAATGCCAGGACGCGCGGATACGCGCGGAAACGCGCGCGCATAATTACGCGCGCGCAAATTTTGAAAATGCTTAAAATGGCCTGAAACGTATGCAAAATTAATATGGAACGAATTTGACCATTTTAAAATTTTAATGCGCGCGTACGTGCGCGTCGAGGTGCGCGCTCAGAATTTTTTGACATTTTTCGTTGACCTTTGACCTGAAGTTGATGTATACCAAATATGGTTGATTTTTGATAACTCGTTATCGAGATATGATAATGACCTGATTTTTACAAAATGGCGCCTGGATGACGTCACGATGACCCCATGAACTTGAAAAAGGTTTCGGGAACTTCATATCATAGGGCCTGATGACTAGCAGAAATTTGAAGGAAATTGACCAGGTCGAGTTCGAGTAAACGTATACACAAAAAAAGTGTACGGAATAAATAAAAATAAATAAAGAATAAAGAATAAAGAATAAAGAATAAAGAATAAAGAAAGAAAATTCTAACGAAATCAATAGGTGATCTGTCATCGACAGACCACCTAATGACTCAAGAGCAACGCTTCCCAACAAAAGCATAGGAGATATGGGCCGCTGGATGAATAGGCACGTAATAGAAGATGAATTGGCCAGCCTACGAGATGGGCTAACTGGGGGCGGGAGGGTTGACGTATAGTCTGTGCTTCCGGGCGGGAGTGAATAAGAGGTGGTATTTGGGTTTATCTGGGTCTGGAGTAGTAGTGAAAGTCAAAAAGCTTTCGGAAGCGGGGAAGGGTCAAGATGGGTTGTTAGAGAAATCCGCAAGATTGAAACCTTTGGATTATTTTCCGATTGACATGTTGTAAACTTACAATGATTTTAAAATTGACAGTAGTGATGACAAAGATGGTGATGATGATTTAATGATGATGATGATGATGGTGATGATGATGATGATGGTGATGATGATGATGATGGTGATTATGATGGTGATGATGATAATGATGGTGATGATGATGATGATGATGATGAGGTTAGGGATGGTGATGATGATGATGATGATGGTGGTGATGATGATGATGATGGTGATGATGATGATGATGGTGATGATGATGGTGATGATGATGATGATGGTGATGTTGGGGATGATGATGATGATGATGATGATGATGATGATGGTGATGTTGGGGATGATGATGATGATGATGATGGTGATGATGATGTTGGGGATGATGATGATGATATTAGGGATGATGATGATGGTGGTGATGATGATGATGATGGTGATGATGATGTTGATGACGATGATGGTGATGTTGGGGATGGTGATGATGATGGTGATGATGATGATGATGATGGTGGTGATGATGATGATGATGGTGATGATGATGGTGATGATGATGGTGATGATGATGGTGATGATGATAATGATGGTGATGGTGATGATGATGATGATGGTGATGATGTTGGGGATGATGATGATGATGGTGATGTTGGGGATGACGATGATGATGATGTTGGGGATGATTATGATGATGATGGTGATGATGATGTTGGGGATGATGATGATGATGTTGGGGATGATGATGATGATGATGGTGATGATGGTGGTGATGATGATGGTGATGATGATGTTGGGGATGATGATGATGATGATGGTGATGATGATGATGATGGTGATGATGATGATGATGATGGTGATGATGATGTTAGGGATGATGATGATGATGGTGATGATGATGTTGGGGATGATGATGATGATGGTGATGATGATGTTGGGGATGATGATGATGATGATGGTGATGATGATGTTGGGGATGATGATGATGATGGTGATGATGATGATGATGATGGTGGTGATGATGATGATGGTGATGATGATGTTGGGGATGATGATGATGATGATGATGGTGATGATGATGGTGATGATGATGATGATGGTGATGGTGATGATGATGGTGATGGTGATGAAGATGATGGTGATGATGATGATGATGGTGATGGTGATGATGATGGTGATGGTGATGGTAATGGTGATGATGATGATGATGATGGTGATGATGATGGTGATGGTGATAATAACGATGATGGTGTTGATGATGATGATGGTGATGATGATGTTAGGGATGATGATCGCTTCTTTCCATGTTCATCTCTAGGTGATGGGCGCTTAATTGATCTAAAATGCCCCACAAACTCCAATGTTCTTAGTCAATGTGTTAACTATAGGAGAGATCATTTTCTCTGTGTCTCTCAATATATCCATTATGTCCTAATAACTCTCAACATCTTCTCTTTCTTCCTCGTCATTTTTTAAGGAAGTATAGCGTGGCAGAATGGCGATCCCTGGAAGGAGCACCGGCGCTTCATGAACCGAACCCTCCGCACCCTGGGCATGGGACGCAGCCTGATGGGCAAACGCATCAACGATGAGTGCCTCAACATGTGTGACTACGTGGACAAGCTGGAGGGAAACCCCATCAACCCCGATCAAATGATGACCACCATGACATGCAACATCATGAACGCCGTCGCGCTGGGGAAGCGTTACGACTTCAACGACCCGCGGTTCGTGAAGCTACGCCGGGACTGCAAGGAGATCCTTGACAATCTGTCCAATACTTCAATCTACAACATGTTGCCTTTCCTTTACCATACGCGCCTCTGTAAGAGATATAGAGAAGCTGTAGAGAATGTGACGATCTACGTCAAGAATGAGGTCATCGAACACGACAAGTAAGCACCGTCGGATATTGTTTGCAAGTTATTTATTCCCCTTGCATGGCACGGTTGTACGACTGTAAACTCGACCCAACACTATACCTAAGCACGACCCTAACCCTAAACCTAACTTGAAAGCCTACTGCTTCCCTAACCCTCCTGCTACACTAACCCCTATACCTTGACAATATAGGCTAAAGTCTGGAGCAATAACTGTCGCACGAGCAAAATGCCGGATCACCACACGTGGTGTCATTTCGATTGCGTTATCAACCATGGGAAGGCGATTAATCCATACGCTAGTAGGTCGAATAAACGTTGCATCGTTCATTTCATGTTGCGCCAGAGGTGCGCCAGAGACCACACCTGTCACTGACGCAATCTTACGTTAGGCAAAATCGTTTTATATGCAATAGTTTAACGCAAGATTGTCCAGTGACGCACTGTTCTATATATTTTTGTGAAGGCGTGGCCCCAAGCTTTGGAAAACACTTCATTCGTGTTTATAACAAATCGGTACATTTTATTTGGGATTGATATTGTGGTTATAAGTGTCTGCGTCACCGGTGACTGGCAGAGGAAAATGATGTGAATTGACATAACCCTCGGGTCTATTATCGTGGTTTGACAGCATATAATCACTTATCTTTCATAGGTCATTCAACAATAACTCTTTACGCGACGTCATCGATTACTACCTCAGAGAGGTCAAGAGAGGGTCAAGGGTCACCGATGAGGAAGACGACGACGACGAGAAAGATAATGAACACACGTGCAGTTTCATCAACGATCAGTTTTGTTGGAGAGGGGTGTTGGATCTGTTGATCGCTGGTGTAGACACGACGTCCAACCATACGATGTGGACAATGCTACACATGGCCTACTACCCCGAGATCCAAGAAAAGGTATAATAATACTATCAACTTGAATCCAATTTTTCTGTTAAACTGAAATGATGAAGAGCCGGGTTGATTGCCGCAGGAAACTAAACAAATTTGTTAATTTATTCTATGAATAGATTGATTGATTATTTTGTTAGTTGACGGTTTCTATCCTCCTACGAGTCATACCTCAATCGGGGAAACGGGCACTGATTAAGATGTTATACTTGGTGTGTCTAAATGTTTTTTTTTCCCCAGCAAACACACCACGTTCTCGAAACGTCCTAAGTATTCTTCATACGTTTTGGCGTTTATTTACGTCCCAATAAAATGGTGTGTTCCCTGGGATCACTCACACACAAGTTGTAATCTTACAGACTTACTCTCATCTCTTCTTTGACAGGCTCAAGCACAAATCGACCAGGTTGTCGGTCGTGATCGTTTACCGACCCTCGATGACCAACCACGTCTCCCGTTGGTTACGGCCATCGCTCGTGAAGTTCTTCGTACGAGTATAGGGACGACCACCGTACCACATCATACAACCCAAGACACGTATCTCAAGGAGTTCTTCATCCCGAAGGGTACACAGGTAGGTTTGCAAACCTAGGGTGTGTCTAGGATTCAGGGTGGTCCACAAGTGATTTAAAAGATGTTCATGCGTGGGTATATAGTCCTTCGTGAAGTAGGCAACTTGGCGATCACTTCCAATCCCTATAACACTGAGCCAATAGGTATTACGCTCATGTGCGTACGTCTGTGTGCTGCCCTTTATATGTCCATGCTTGAGCAACTTTAAAGGTAAAGACCAGTATTGGAAACGCCCCAATTTCAAAAAATGAAATGGAAGCTCTGATTACCAATCATGTGAAAGAATATTTTTTGACTAATACATGATGATAAAAAATTGCCGGGAAACCGCTTACTAATTCATATATTTGGTAAATTTGTTTCTCTCATGGTCTGTGAGAGATATAGGGTAGTCCCATATACAAGTTTCTGTGTATAGTGCTTGTAACTTTACGAAGAATGGGCCAAATTTCTTTTTATTTTGATGTTTCCAGAACCTTGCAGATGCTAGATGCTAGATGATCAACCTTTCCTGATCGATTCCACAACGTTTCTTTCACAATGCAATCGCATGACCATAACTGGTCTTTACCTTTAATATGTAGTAGGTTTGAAATTCCAAATTACATGTTTGAAAAATCAGCGACAGGTTTGAACTATTCAGTAACAGGTTTGGAAATCAGAGACAGGTTAAAATTCTTCCCAAATCAAATTTATTTCTGAATATCGCTCAGATGGCACCAGAGAGCAGTGTAAGAACCCTTAAGCTTTTGTAAAGCAAGCCCTAGACCCCGACCATAAGAGACTTTACACTTTGCACAAATTAGTACATAATCTCTACAAGTTTCAATTTTACATGTTTGAAGTTTTGTTTGTTGGCCATCCTGCAGGACTATATGGAAGGGTGGGGGCGGCAGGTATTTTTTGTCTATAAAAGTCAGCAGCACTTCTCATTTCTTATCCACTTTTAAAACGAAATCATGCACAGTAACTTACGCGAAAAGTGTTTTAAATGGTTTCATCTGTGCAGGCGCGTACGCAGGGGGGGGGGGGGGGGGTTAGGGGGTTAAACCCCCCCCCCTTTGGTTTTTTTTTATGTGTTTTCTTTTGCGGATTTAAAAAAAAAAAAAAAAAAAATGCAAATGGCTGACCTAAAAAAGTGTCCTCTTACCCATCCCCCCCCCCCCCCCCGCTTATTCAGCGGCTGGCTGAGTCGTTGCGAAATTTTCGGCCCGATTTCAAAATGTTAAACCCCCCCCCCCCCTTGAAAAAAATCCTGCGTACGCCACTGCATCTGTGTGACCTTCCAAACACGTTAACATATCTCCTAGAATGTTTAAAAGCATAATGTTTTTTATTATAATCTGCCGACTTCTAGTGTGTGTGTGATTAACCAGTTGGAATGTGCTTTTCACTTTTTTAGGTTCTGGGGAATCTGTGGAGTTTAAATCATGACCCGGAAGTTTTTGAAGATCCCTATGTATTCCGCCCATCAAGGTTCTTAGCAGAAGACGGCAGCTTACAAGGTCTTTCTGACGTCAAGTCGTTCGGCATAGGTAAGATATAGAACTCTCAACAGGGGCCTTGTATGTCGGAGATTTCCCGATGAAATTTTATCGAATCATTCTTGAAGAAAAGGAGCTTGATAAATTCGAGGGAAAAAATCTGTAATGTGACATAAAACACTTTTACAGCAGTTGTTCATCAATTTACTTCAGTCTGATTTGTATACGTTCACCAAGTCTCACTAGGCTCACTTTATATGTATTCTAATATAATAACTTCAACAAGTGAAATACATTAAGTGTTATAAAATGGACACACAATTCACCAACAGTGAATTTTTCGCGATCAAATTTAGAAACTGGTAAGTTAATATCTGGGCAAGAGACGTCATGTTTTCAAGTTTTCAACTTCAAGTTTCAAGTTGTTATTGTTTCACATTTTACACAAAATATAGACATACATATAAAAACTATACAATACATGTAGTATAAATAAACATGTCTCAATGATTCTCAATTCATATAATAGATTAAGTAGAATTTGAGGAACCTATTACAAATAGGACGAAAAGAACAAATCGTAACAAAGTTATTGGCAATTTATTTTATTTCGCAGGTCCCCGGAAGTGCCCTGGTGAACCCATGGCCCAGCAGGAGTGTTTCCTGATCATGGCCATCCTGCTACATCGGTACAACCTCGTCTTTCCCGAAGGTGACCCGATCCCCGACATCCGAGGCCGAGTCAAAGGCATGATGCTCCTCCCTGACAAATACAGGCTCAGGTTCATACGCCGATAGTCAACGAAACATTCCGAAACATTCCGAGTACAGTGAATCGCACGCCGAATGAATCGAAGGAAAAAATGAGCATTCGAAGTATGTATGCTGATGTTTCTCCGGCGCAACGCACTCAGTCTACAAGCTAATATAGTGAATATTGTTTCCGAATATGAAGAAGGTTATAGAGGTGCCTTTCGTGAGGATTAGAACCCGGATGTAAGTCATTTTGTGAGATTTCAAAAGTTCTCGACTCGAGATTCGAGAGTGGCCGAGTGTTTCTGAATGTTTCCGAATGTTTTCCGAGTGTTTCCGAATGGGTTGGGATTGACGAAGTTGACGATGGTCGTATCGTGATTTACACAATTGAAAATGTAATCACTACTCAAACTGGTCGCCTTTACGAAGTTGAAAAAGACTTCGTTTTTTTAAGAGAGAGAGAGAGAGAGAGGAAAGACGTTCGTTCACAACAGAATACCTATCAACACTGGCATATAGCTCGCAGACAGGATCCATACTACATAATTATGCGATAGGTCGAGGGTTCGCGGGCCTTCCTTATATATTCTGACTTCTTCATCCGGGAAGGGGTCGCCCCCTTATCTCTTATTTCTTGATAGGCTATGTTAGCCTCTTTTTAACTATATGGCTACTAAACAAGTTCACTATTAACGCTTTTAGCTACTCCTTAAAAAAAAACGTGTGTGGGCGCTGTATAAAGCACAAAAAACATTGTTTATCGAATTTATTTCAAAACAACTCAGTTAAATAAAACTCAATCTACGTCTTGCGTTGGAAAACATAGGATGTGACAGGGTCACTTTCATATAAGGGTGTTTCGGTTTTCTCGTCGCGCTTTGTTTTTGTATGGAAAACACTTTTTAATAGATATTTTAACATTTTCAAAGGTGCTGGTTTACTTTGCTGTTTCTATTAATCTACTGGCGTTCAATTCTAAACGGCCATCGATATTGTAGACTTTATTTCTGCTTATGAGGGTTTCAAGGTACCAAGTCAAAATAGAACACAACTTCTTGTCATGATAAACAAGCTTTTTCACTAAGGAATGCAAACTTTTTGAGGGGAACAGCCCATACATTGATATAAATTAACTTTCACGTTATTTCTGAGCAGCAAATATTGGTTGAGGAAATACTCTTAAGATGTCTTACTGCTACCCAATCTAAGAAATATAAATGATGATGATGATGATAATAATAATCGTAATAGTATTGATAATAATTATTTTAATGATGATAATAGTTGTAATAATAACATTACTGATAATAATAATAATGGTATTAATGCAATGCTTCTGAATAGAAATAACATAAAGAATGGCATAGCTGAAAGGAAAAGAGCAAGAGATAGTAACTACACAATATTTTGGACTTGACATTTTGAATGTCTATATAATGCTGCGTTTGGTGTGTCAGTGATACGGCTTGTATTCATTAAAAACTATTTAGATTAAACCGGGATTAATTCATCTAGTATTAATCTAATCTCCTATATTATGGAGCGCTGAATCTCAATAATCATCAATGACCCTATCTTGAATGAATGAATACAGACCACCGTAATCATGAAATCAATTTATCATTGTCATTTTGTGACATATAGTTCATTGCTTTTTATTCACATTAATTTGTAACAAACGTAGATGTCTACATTTGGTATTCCATACATAAGTGGATGGAATTAATCACGGTTTAACTGATAATCCGTCTTTATGAATACGGACCTTCGACCTTTTATGCTGCTGTCAAAATAAGGCAGCTGAAAATGGACTCAGCAAAGTGAAATGGGAAAAAAAGTGTGTAAAATATAAAATGTCGTCGAATCATGTATTTACGAAGTATTGGAATGCTAACAACATTTGCTGTTTGCAAGGAAATCTAATGAAAAATAATAACTGAATATAATTAGTGATAACAGTTTAGCTGTTTCCAGTACATTATTTGTAATTGAAATGGGGGTATAATTAGTTTTAATAGTGCGCACTTTTTAAAATTAATGATTGTTTAATCGCATTTTTATTAACAAAAAAAGAAAGAAGGGTATTGAATTACAGAAAAGAAACAAAAACGAAAAGATGTTGACATGGTTACAAGACTTTGTTCGTGAGAACATGTACATTCACCTTGCAAATTTCTGCGCAAATTTGGAGAAGCTAAAATTTGGGTGTGTGAAAAATGATCCGCCTATAAGCGGAGTTTGGCCAACTTGGTTTCAGTTGGTCACAAGATGGCGTATATTCATTTGTTGTGTGCCTGTCCAATGAAGCAGTATTGGTGATATTGCAAAGAGAAAAACATCCCCAAAACCTAGAACTGTGTATAGATGGCTCTGGGCCCTGTTTCATAAAACGTGATATCAATAACAAGTTACAAGCTACTGTTATAAGCTACTGAAATCATGGCATCTGATTGGCTGAGAGCAAATTTGTCATAGAAATTTAGCAGTTGTTATAGATAACAAGTTTTATGAAACGGGCCCCTGGTGTGTAATAGAGGCATTGACCCGGATCGAGTTGGGCACCAGGGGGCCATTTCTTGAAACAGTCATAATTCTAACTTCTAGGACATTCCATTGTAACGTGTATTATAGAATTAACATGCGTATATATGGGATGTCTAGTTGTCTACAAACTTGGACTCATGACGGTTTCGTGAAACCGGCCCCCATGTGGCTAATACTGCTTCGTTGGGCAAGCACAAAACAAAGGAATACACGCCATGTTATGAACAACTGAACCTTAGTTGGCCAAACTCTGTGTATAGAGGTGTCTCTGGTGTGAAATAGTGCCACCAACGGTATGGAGGCGCCAACTATTACTCGGATTTAAAAGAAATGTTACTTTAAAAGCTAGGGTAGAAGTAGTAGTAGTAGGGCTACTAGTTTAGTCGATATCTCAATTAAAATGTAGATAATTCATGTCTACATAGATCGATGTCAAATTAGCATCTGTTATCGACAAGAAAATAATGAATACAGTTGCTTTTTCCAACCTACCTCACTTACGTCAAAGATGATAACAATTCTGTGATGTCTAGCGATTGATCACTATTCATATTATTTTTTAACAGGGTGTTATTTGCTTGTTCGAGTACCTGAATCTATTCTATGCAAAAGTGTCTTGTTTTGGGCCGACTTTGTCTGTATATATTGCCGCACATGAAATTGTTATCCGAATATCATTATTTTTCGATACGTTTTCGTCGCCTAGCCTTCATGTTATGTTTCAACTTCAGAAATCTCGTACTCCACTTTGAGCAGTCCGCCTTCTTTCTTTTGTTGTTCTTCTTCTCTCCTTCTCCTTCTTCTTATTCTTCTTCTTTTCATAATCATTTGAAACTGTCCCTATTCTATCTTTATTGTACTGCGTCTGTTAGACCTTAAAAAAAAAATCGGGTTAAACATTAGCAATTGTAGAAATCGTTGGAAATAGAAAGACTTAATTCACTATAAAACAATGCCGTGTAAAGAAAATTTATAGAATAATGAATCGTGAAAAAAGATAGAAATCGAATGGCCCATCAGATACTATTGAAAGAAAAAAAAAAGAGATTTTGCAAATAATTATGTTGATGGATTTTGATCTTACGACAATTGTGACTATTATTCATATATTCATGTAGTAACTAATAGCATGCATTTTTGTATTTTGATAAAACATTTCATCTTTTTAATTTGACGATTGTTCAAAGTGGAATATACAGGTTTGTGAAGTGATATTTGCCTTTATTATTTAAAAGTACTTCAATAATCAATTTTATGTTTTGCTTTACGATCATTAGGCCTATACATTATACTCGTTTGTTTTTAACCATGTGGGGTTTGGGGTGTATTAATTTGTAATACTTTATTGTGTGTGCGCGCGTGTGTGTGCGTGTGTGTATATAAAGAAATGAATATACTTTGTCTTTCATCTTGTATATGTACATTTTAAATGTACAATTATATAATAATTGTAATAGTCATTGCGTCTTTTAAAGTGATGTATATAGATGTTTGTTCATAGCGAATAATAATACAACTCATCTTAGTGAGCTGATGCTTGGCAAATTTTAAAACTTGTCAAACATCACACATTCACACAGATTGGTGTAGTTTAATGTATACCGGTATGATAAATTATGCATATTGTGTTTCGCTGAGTAGGTAATTACATCATTGTTTGTTTCGATGATTGTATTACAACAGTGATATTGTTGATAATACTTTCTTTATAGATGAATTCTTGTACTAGGTGCCAAAGTTCGGTTTATCTCCTTTGCTAAAGAAAACATTCAAATGTTTCGATAGAATACAACTCATTTTGTCAAAGGGAAATACATTTTCCCCAGAAAAATGTTTGCAAATCGAAAGTTGAATTATAGATATTCATCAAATTGTCAAATTCTCTTCTTAATTTTTAATGATTTCGACTTTAACAAAATAACTTGCCAAATTAATAACTTACCACTTTGGAGAATTAAATCTTATGATTTTATAATTTATGATAGAATGATTTGCTGTAAGAAGTCATGTATCAACAGATGAAAATCATATATTAATAGCTCTTAAACGCTTCTCTTTTTTCCGTCATGTAATAGCTCTAAAAGTTCAATTCATCACATTTTGTCCTTCCTTTTACCCTTTGTAATTATCAGTACTTTACGTCGCTCTCAAGTATTCCAGAAAAGGGAGAAAGTTTTTTGATGATAAACGGGTTTTAAAGTACGTACACAGTGTTATGCCCAAGCTGAGAGCACAAATCTGTTAATTACATACACACAGGGTAACTTTTTCTAAGGACGTAGTGTGTAACTTTTCCAGCAGTCTTGTTGTTTTTTATTTTGTAGTTAATGTATAACTTGACTATAATGCGTATTGTATTCGTATCTTGCTATATGTGTCTGTTTGTAAATATTGAAAAGTAAAGCATTGGGTCTTCACGAAATATAGATTTTATATTTTTATATATATTCTATGAGTTTCATACTTTTCGCTCATATTGCAGTATGATGGTCATGTATCAGGGCTTTTAACGAATTTAAGATTTGGTCTGAAATATCGAGACTAGTCTGATGTAGGTTCGTTTCAGATGATAGTCAGGGACGGATCCGGGAATTGTAACGGAGCACAACATGATGAAAATAATATAATTAAGGACAGTTTTGTTAGGTACTTCTGGTAAAAGGTGGGGGCATGGACCAATTGTGTCACCCCCCCCCCCTCCCACTACCAACCCATCATTCGGTCATGTATTACATAGGTATAAACGTGATAGATGGCGATAGGTAATCTCATTTCACGAACCACTTGCGGTCACAGGTATCATAAGTTCTCAAAGCGGGTTTCTGACCAAAACAAAATCTACATTACCCTCTAAAAAGTTAGCAAACTCAAGTTTGATCTAGTATGTGGCAGAATCATCGTTATATTTATTATTATTTGGAAATGTATTTATTTCTGTTTAAAATGATACCCTATTTGTTATGATTTTTCAGTCATGGAATATGCATTACATCGCAATAAGGGGCAGGGTCAAAATTGAAGAGTGTATAGTGCTGCTCCTTATTCTAATGAAAATGATTCTAATACTACCCATTCTATGGCGACAAAGTCATAACAAAATTGGTATCATTTTAAAGACGAATAAACATAGTTTTAAACGATACTAAACAAAACGATAATTGTCGAATGACAAGAGAAATATAATAGAACAAACTTGAGTTTCCAAACTATATTTTGAGGGGTTAATGTATATGAGAAGTTTGATCTCAAGTTCTGTTTATACAGGGATGAAATTGGACATCCACACCGAATCGAGGGCATTAATTAATAAGGATAGCAAGAACGCCTACGAGACCAACTTGTTTTGGGCAATTATGATGTTGTTGTTGTTGTTGTTATTGGATAAGTTATAACGACCCTTATTATCCCATTGAGATATTCACGCCAACATCACATCAGATTAGTCTCGAGTTCAGACCAAATCCATTTTTATGAGTGTAAGCTGGATAGCCAAATAACACTCACATCGCCTAGATACATCATATTCTCTACTTGAGCATATCGTGTGTGATTCTCCTTTTAAGAAAATTGATTTCATTTTCATCGTTTATTTTTATTTTGCCTGTTTAGTTCAGTCACCATTCTATCAAGTAGACCAGTCCACATTATGGTTTCAAATTTCATGAAATTCAACTTCAACCCACAAGATACTGGTGACGAGCTATTGCATTCTCAAATACAGCTTGCATGCATCAGTTGATGCTATGTCGGACAATCCTTTATCAAGGGTATGCATAGAATTTGAATACATGTGTGAACTGGTCTATTACAGATCTTCAGTAAATGTTGTAAGATGTACCATCATGCATTGCACAATAATTGCGTCACAATAGGCCAATTTCGTAATATACACTGTAATACACTGTAATGTATTTCGATTCTATGGAAGCTTTGTGGACATAGTGCCCTGTGCGTCCTAGCAATAACCAAGTGGGTACATTTAGGAAATTTGGTGTTAAAGAGGTAGACATTTGGAGGTAAAAAGGTACAGATTTGCCAAGATTTTCTTCTTCTTTTTAAAGCAGCTGAATATATCTGGTTGTCATAAACCTGTACTTGATTTACGGAGCATAAGGTGTCAATCTGTACATGTTATCCCGCACAAAAAATTCACTGAACAAATTAACATAAATCATGTCATCATGAGATACATTTCTTATTTTTAGTTCATGATTTTATCAAATTAAATTAGGTGATACGTGGTGCTTCATATATCATGTGCGCATCGGTGGACTAAGGTCTTTTATGAATACATTGTCCTGGCGTAAAAGAGAGGAGAGATGAGGTTATAATTATTTGAATATATAGAATGAAATTGGCCTATTCAAACTTATCGACAGTTCAATGAGTAATCGTGTGTTACGCTATCTCAATGAATGTAACTTTCAAAAATGAAATTCGTGTAGTAATGCAAAATAAACAATTTACGATGTAATCGGTAAAAAAATATTATTTTAGTTTCAGTTTTGTTCAAGTATGCATTAACTTTGTAAACTAGTGTTTGTGTGGTGATGTGGGCGAGGGTTTGTGTCTGTGTGTATGTGCGTGTTGTGAGCAGGGGCGTCGCCAGACCTTTTTCAGTGGGGGGGGGGGGGGGGGGTGTAGAGGCCACCGATTACCGACAAAACTAGCTCCCAATTACCGACAAATATATTAATGCCAATGTCCCAATATCTACAAATTTAACCCTATAAACCCGGGCCCAGGATTAAAATTATTTTTAAGTGCCCCCTCCACCCTCCCGCGCGAAATTATTAGAGAAATAAGACGATTCGTTATACCGTTCTCGACTCTTGATCCTTGTCTGAATTCAGTTTACCCACTCCTGCGCAAAGCGCGAAAGCTTTGACTTTTCATTAAATTATTAGAGAAAAACGACGATTCGTTGTACTGTTTTCGACTCTTAATACATGATGATAAAAAAATTGCCGGGAAACCGCCTACTAATTCATATATTTGGTAAATTTGTTTCTCTCATGGTCTGTGAGAGATATAGGGTAGTCCCATATACATCTTTGTGTGTATAGTGCTTGTAACTTTACGAAGAATGGGCCAAATTTCTTATCATTTTGATGATTCCAGAACCTTGCAGATGATAGATGCTAGATGATCAACTTTTTCCGATCGATTCCAAAACGTTTCTTTCACAATGCAATCGCATGACCATAAACCTTTAATCATAGTTTGAATCTTCAAAATGTTCCTTTGTCCGATAAAAAGTCAGTTTGAAGGGAAAAGAAAATTGCCAGCCGACCGACATAATACATCTCACCAACTTCAAACTTCTGCATTGATATAGCACATGAGGATCGAGCAAGATTACCGACACAGCGGACCCGACACAGCAACATAATATCTTTCTTGCCCCCTCGACGTGGTGACTCCTCCCAGCATCCCCCTCACTCTCTTACTCCCACCCCTCTTCTCTCAGGCCCTTACCCCCTCTCTCTCCCCTCTCTTTCACACCCATTTCCTTTTCCTTTCCTTTCCTTTCTTTCCTCTCCTTCCTCTTTTTCTTTTTTCTCTTTCTTACCTTTTCTTTCTTTTTTCCCCTCCTTTTTCTTTCCCTCGATCGTTTTTTTCTCCTTTTCTTTCCCCATCCCCCTTCCCCCTTTTTTACCAGGGGGGGGGGGGGGCAAGTGCCCCTGTGCCCCCTGAATCCGCCACTGGCTATGGTACATTTCGGAGCATTTCTGAATGAGTAAACTGAACATTTTTTGTGGATATTTTACGCCTCACTGGATCCGCCCCCGGATAAGGCGCTTCGAAAATTGATTTCTGTTCGCTCTTTCTGAATCACTCAACCATGGAGACAAAAGTATTCAAGAGCGCATCAAGTAGGTCTACTTCATATGCATAATGTTGCATAACCAAGCTACGGTAGCTTGTATACACACTGAGCAGGCAATAGTGGGTTCTTGTATGTCGATCAGAGTGTCAGATTTCCTGGCGCGGCGGTGCTCCATTATAGCCTGCTCCAAACGGTTCTGTTTGCGGTCATATGCTAATTGTTGAAGGAACTATGAAGAATATCGTGGCTATTTTGTGTGTTCTGCTGCACGTCTCTAACTCAGGTAGGAAGTCATGTATGTTCAGTATCTAGTTTATGATATAAAGTTATACCATGGCCGGGAATGTCACATCGAGAAGCAGACATGCAATCAAGCAGTAGCTAGATGAATGCATTGTATGTCGTTGTTTTTCGGTGATCTAAAACATTATTTAATGCAGATATACCTGCTAAAGGTATATTGTACGACTGACCGTACGTAGGCCTACACGGCAGAGCAATTAAGGGAGAGTGGGCAAAGAAAAGGAGTAGAAATTCAAGGAATGGAAGGATCGAGTGTGTGAGTATACAGTGAGTGTGGGAGAAATAGTTAGAGGGATATATAGAGATAGATATAGTCAGAGACAATTAAGCCTTGATGTAGAGAGAGGGGGGAGGGGAGCGATCAATAGACTTGAGAGAGAGAGAGAGAGAGAGAGCTGGAGAGAGACCAGAGGAAAGCGATAGAGGGTTGTGTGCATGTGGGTGGGTGATGGAGAGAGAAAGAGAGAGAGACACACACATACAGATAGATGGAGGGAGAGAGAGAGAGAGAGAGAGAGAGAGAGAGAGAGAGAGTACACACATTGTCAATGGCCTCCACTTTCCACTCATAACAACACAACCGTTTATACAATATGTTATCACATGACTGATTTATCAGGTGGGCTGTATATAATACAGATCACCTTATGTTTTCGTAAGAATATTTTTCTTATTTCTAACCACTTTTTTGTTAGCACGACAACTTGAAAATGGCTCAATCAAATGCCTTGAAATTTGGCACACATATGTATAGGCATGAGGAAAGAGCGCAATAAGGTTTTCAACCTTGACCTTGATTGATAACGTCATCCAGGCGCCATTTTGTGAAAATCAAAATATGATCATATCTTCATAACGAAAAGACATTTCTCATTCATATTTACCAGGATCAAGGTCAATATCAGTCCGGTCAATTTCACGTCCCCTGCCCCCCCCCCCCCCTTGAGAAAAAAATCATGTAAAAAACACGTGATTTTTACCTTTTTGGGGGTTGGGGGGGGTGCAAATTTTATAATTTTCGAGGACCCCCCCCCCCAAAAAAATGTGCTCACTACCCCCCCCCCCCCCCACTGAGCGAAATTTCTGGAGCAAAAAAAAATAAAAAAAAATAAATAGTGCTCACTACCCCCTACCCCCCCCCCCCCCCCCCCCCCCCCTGAGCGATTTTTCGGCCGGTTTTTCAAATTTTCTGGAGCAAAAAAAAAAGGTGGGCCCCCTTCCCCTAAGAAATCCTGGATCCGCGCCTCAGCCATGGTGTGTAGGACTGACTTCGTCATCAAGCTTGAAGGAATAGCTAGGTCCACAGGGGATGTTGATCTTTAAAGTGATCAGATTAGAAGTTGTCGGACCGATATTTCATCATTGTTATTTTTAATAATTATCATTATTATTAATATTGTTATTATTATAAGTAGTGTAGATTTTTATTGTTATTATATTGTTATTATTATTGTTATGATTATATTATTTTATCATTTGAAGTAACACACTAGTATAATCTCAGCCTTAGACAATACCCATAATATCTAATAGATTTAACACATTAGACCTATGCTTTCTTTATCACCAAATTAATCAGGCCAATCTTATTTTATTTTTTTGCTATGGTTACAGCTTTGTCAGAGAAACCGAATGTTCTGTTCATCGTGATAGATGATTTACGAGCGTCACTTGGATGCTATGGGGGTCCCATCATATCACCAAACATCGATCAACTTGCATCCAAATCTGCTCTCTTCACCAACGCTATGGTGCAGGTAAGGACAAATGGGGTTTACAACTTATTTATAATCAACTTTGATGTATAGACGCTTCCTAAGTCAACGGAATTTGATGTAAACTGTCTTGATTCTAACACTACATCGTTCAGTTACCTTGAATCCTTAAACACTGCATTCATTGCTTCAAGACTCCCAACATATATGGATCGTAATCAATATTTCATCAATACAAATTGTTAATAATGGTTTGTGTTTATTATGCAATGTACATACAAGCACTATGAACATGACGGACATAGAAAGCGGACAAAATATACAGTTCCTCAGGTAGACAAAGGAAAAATTCCCTTCACTGCTATTATGTAAAAATGTGTAGGACAGGTGTCATATGCATATTCACCTGTTCTACACATTTTTACATAATAGCAGTGAAGGGATGTTCCTTTGTCTACCTGAGGAACTGTATATTTTGTCCGCTTTCTTTGTCAGTCATGTTCATAGTGATAATACATCGATCGTAATCAATATTTCATCAATACAAATTGTTAATAATGGTGTGTGTTTATTATACAATGTACGTACAAGCTCGATAACGTCCTTTGGCAGGACGTTAATCCATACATTTGTCCCTCTCCATCCAGGTGTAAATGGGTACCTGATATTATGACTGAGCGTTATAGTTTCTTTGGCGTGACGGATATGAGCGCTATTATAGTGGCCATTATTATGCAATCTAAAAAAGAATCCTTGCGAGATTCATGTATTAACTTATATTATAAAGGTGAAACTCGCAAGGATTTTTCGTTTGATTTTATATAATTATTATCTTCCATCACACGAATATTATTCACATGTACATTTATTTTATATAAATGTATATAATTATTTAATTATGGCGAAAGGAAATGAGAGAATAAAGTCAAATAATACATTTTTTTAAATTGTTGTCCTCCATTTTGACATTTTTGTTGAGGTTAAAAAGGATTGAAGGTTTGAAGTTTAACCGCCGCTCATTTTAATCTGAGACCCGTCATAATTATAAAGAGTTACGATTGATCTGAATCAATCGCAAGTCCTCCAATCAATCGCAAGTTCGCAGTCTCCTATTATTATTTTTTTGCCTGAGAACATGATTTTGAGAATTTAAGGCTCATTCAGTGATAAAAGGGTGGAAGAGGTGGGGGGGGGGGGTACTGGAGAAAAAATAATAACAAAATAAGGGCTAACTTAAGAGGTGGTATTTCATTTTTCCCTCAACTAAAGAGGGGGGGGGGGGTGCGGCTGTTTGTCCTTGACATCCATTGTTTTTAGTTTCTTTATTTTTTGAGGGAAGACTTAAGACCAATCTTTGTTTCAAATTTCTCTTTTTTTTTCTTCTCTCTCACTCTCTACTCTCTAGCAATCGGTGTGTGCCCCCAGTCGAACATCGTTCTTGACAGGGCGTCGTCCCGACACCACTCGCCTCTATGACTTCGGGTCTTACTGGAGGAGACATGCAGGCAATTATACAACCCTGCCACAGCACTTCAAAGAGAACGGATACTTCACAGCGTCAGTAGGAAAGGTTTTTCATCCAGGTATCGTCAATTAATAAGCCTCATAACACATACATATTAGAATATCTTTACGGAGGTTTTACAAATTGGCTTGGTACTTTTCCTCCACAAACAGTAGCAACAACTAATATTATATGCTGATGCTGATGATGATGATGATGATGATGATGATGATAATGGTAATGATTAGAAGAAGAAGAAGAAGAAGAAGAAAAAGAAGATTTATGAAGAAGATGATGAAGAAGAAGAGGATGAAGAAGATGAAGAAGAAGATTATTACAAATCTATAAAGAACATATATATGGCAAGCATCACTGAAGCATTTTTTTCCTTCTCTTTGCGCGGTACATTATGGGAGATAATTGAAAACATAATAGTAAACAAAATTATTACCGAGACGTAGTAACCAACGTGATACAAAGTAAAATATGGCATATGATATTAAATCGGAACTACAGGTTTAGTAAGGATTTGAAAATTATTACTTCATCTTTTAATAATGTAGGCCTAATTTTCAAACATTCGTATGGAGTAATGATGTACGACGTGTAAAGCACAATGTAACTCATTTCTTTTCATAAATTGATTTTGTTTCTTCTTTGTAATTCCAATGCTATTTTATATCGGACAATGTGTTCAAGATTCATAATATGACCTTGGATAATTTCTGTTTGGTTTGACAAGGTGTAACAAGTGGTGGTCACGATGACTATCCATATAGCTGGTCTGTTCCTCCTTACCATCCACCGACAGAACAATACACCGGGGCCAAGGTTAGTACAGATCTTGTTTGGATCGAGGTACGCCATTTCATGGCCAAATTATAGTATATAAATAGTAGGCACATTTTTTTTTTTTTTTGGTCCTCCAAAATTTAAAAATTTGCACCCCCCCCCCCTGGATCCGCCACTGGTAGGCAATTATGTTGATTCATCCACGTGTTGGCAGTGTTCGAAAGTATAGAGATCACATTCTGAAGATTACATTTTATGCCAACTTCATAATATTCTTTCCAACTTTTCGGGGCCCTTCCCCATTCCTCAGGAATGACAATTAAGGCTTGTGGGTGATCAGAATATTAGTATTATTATACAATAGTATTAATATTTTTATACATTTCGTGGTTACCAAAACAATTATTGATTAGGGCCTATATATATCTATATCTATGCAAAAATGTATATCCATGTATATACATGTGTATATATATATATATATATATATATATATATATATATATATACATTTATATACTCTCTTATATTATTCTATTTTCTTTTGATAGGTGTGTCCCACTTTGGATGGCACGCTTCACAATAACGTCATGTGTCCAGTCAACGTAAGTGTCATGCCACAAAAATCACTCCCGGATATCCAGTCTCTAGAATTCTCCTCATCTATCCTGAAGAACCTATCCGTAGCCCTCCATCCAACAAACAAGCAAGGCAAACCGATTGAAACCGGTCAGCCATCTCAGGACATGCAACCGCCCTTTTTCTTGGCCGTTGGATTTCACAAACCGCACATTCCGTGGAAGTACCCAGAGGAATTCAAATCGTTGTACCCGATCGAGTCGGTTTCTATTGCAACCAATCCATACCGGTCTCCAACCCAGCCGGATGTCGCCTATGAGGATTATTACACTATGAGAACTTATAGAGAAGATGTGAAGGCTATGAATATGAGCTTCCCCTTTGGAACAATACCACTTAAATTCCATGTAAGATAATCCCTTGATCTAACAAAAACATTGAATTTAATTTTAGATTTAGTCTTTAGTGTTACTTAGCAGCAATGCATGACATTTTGGCCGAATTAATGGGTTTACACTAAACATATTAAAAATATGTTTTATTTCAATTGGTGAACTCGGGGGACTGCATGAAACAGACAGCCCATCCCCAACACTCAGAGAGAGAGAGAGAGAGAGAGAGGCATGAACAAAACAAAACAAGAAAGAAAGCAGAAAGAAAGAATAAAGACAGTGTTATAAGTAGTGGTCAAAACATTTAATATTTGAAAAGGAGAAATGTTATGAGCTCATTTTCAAATTAAATCTGGTCAGTGGGTCTATATTTTCTAAATTCCCGAAATCATGGTCCTGCATGAAAAGGAAAACTTAACATGGCCACCTTTTTATGATAATCGCGTATTTGTCATGTTCACTTATCGATCAATGAGCATTTTTTCCCCTTTAATTTTCGGACAGGCTCCGATGAGACAGAGCTACTATGCTGCTGCATCCTACACAGATTCCTTGGTGGGAAAACTACTCCAAACCCTGAATGAAACTGGCTTCTCAAACAATACCATCGTCGTTCTCTTTGGGGATCATGGTGAGTTGATTTCTTCAAAATTCCTTGATCCCTCCCCCTTTCTCCAACTCTCAGTCTCTATTTCATGTACCCATTTTGCCTTTCTTTTAAAAATACTGTTTTGTAATTTGTTGGTATTAGATAAGTTATTAATAAAGCATGTTTATGGCGTGTATGATGGCTTCATTTCTCGACCTTGCATAAATCGTATCATTATTGTTGTTTCTAATACATGTAGTACTTCTGATGGCATATATAATTTCCATTAGATAAACGTTTGTTTAATTCAGAGCTACGTTGATATACGTAAAAGCAGAATATATTTTTGTTTGGAGGAAATAACCCTGAATGATACAGAGGCGGCATACCACACCCCTATTACCTTCCAAAGTGTAGTCATAATTCATACAATTATTAAATTATTGCAAAGGCAGAGATTTCTGGGAACATATCTTCTTCGCCTGTGTTCATGTACTCCTCCCGGATTGAAAATAACCTTTTGTTTTTCTACCTCTTAGGATGGCAATTAGGTGAGCATGCAGAATGGTGCAAGTACTCTAACTATGAACTGGCAACAAGAGTTCCTTTGATCGTTCACATTCCTGGTGTTACAGACAAGCCAATGTCATCGCCAATCAAAAATCAACTTCAAAATTCTCTAAAGATGATTCAATCTCAAGACAATGTGAAACTGTCTGCTGCCAGTGGAATGGTTGTTGCTGAGTTTGTAGAACTTGTTGATCTGTTTCCCACCCTCTCTGATCTCGCTGGTATTACTGTTCCACCTGTATGTCCTCCAGAGCCTTTCAATGTCACCTTATGTTCCGAGGGGTACAGTTTCGCCCCTCTCCTGGAGCCAGTCCAAGGCTCCAACACCATTCTGCAGAAAGATGGCATGAAGAAGTTGACTTCAAAGCGGTACAGCAGATGGAAGAATGCCACATTCAGTCAGTATCCTCGTCCAGGGGTAATCCCAAACAAAAAGACTGATCTCCCTAGTCTGGGTGACATTACTGTCATGGGGTACTCTATGAGGACCAAGGATCACCATTACACCGAATGGATAGGATTCAATCCAAAAAATTTTCAAGGTAACTGGACCGATGTAAAGGCTACAGAACTTTACTTCAATGGCTTGGACTATGATCAAAACCAAAATGTTGCTGCTGATCCACAGTTTAAGGACATCGTTAAGCAACTCAGCTATCAGTTACAGATGGGCTGGCGCGAAAGCCTACCCGTCCCTGCATAAAGCCCAATGGAATGCATATATCGCCCTTTATCTTAAAGTCAAGAAGTTATCAGAACTCCAACAACATTTAAAAGTCAAAACCAGAAAATGATAAAAAAATAAATTACCCATCGTAAGAAATTTCTACTAAACAAAATGCAAAGATTTAACCGAAACAAAGAAGACATTGTACAGTTTCTCAAGCAATGTATTTTTAGTTGTCATTTGATTTTAAATCAATTTTTGATGGTACAATATGTATTTTGAAATGATATTAAGAAATTGTTGTAAATATGCAAAATTCAACCTTATGATTACAGGGACTGCTGTGACCAGCTGTCAACAATTATCTGTTGATACCTGCACTACTCACAGTTGAACAATATATACAAACAAATAATAAAACCTGTAATGGAATGAATTGAATTGAGTTATCATATACTCTGCAAGCAAATTTTTTTTTTTTTTGGTCGATGAATTGACGTTTTGTCTGACATAGGTCTTCACGTGAATAGAGACCTTCAAAATCTGCAGTCTGGAGCCATATGAATTCTTTTACGAATACATATTTTTTTACATAACAAGTTTAAGTAACTGATATAAAAGCTACCCGATTCTGAAAAGAAAACCCAAACAATGAGGCCGACACTATAATGGATTTATACAGTAGGCTTGCGGGTGCACCATGTGTGAGAGAGAGAGAGAGAGAGAGAGAGAGAGAGAGGATTGAGGAGTCCTGAAAAGGACTCCGACTCGGTAATCTTTCTTGGGGGTGTGTAGTCCTGAAAAGGACTGTTTGTTATCTTGCTTAGCTTATAGTTCTAAGGAGAACTATAGCGCTTGGAGAGGATGAGTGGCTCGACGTTTCGAACAGGTTGACTATCCGTCGTCAGGAGTGGTGCACCCGCAAGCCTACTGTATATCTCCATCACCATGCAAGCCGACACTTATAATGGATTTGTGTTACTGTAATACTGATATGAAGATATACTGATATAGTACTGTATGTTAGCAGTATAGTGCACCTGCATTGCGTTGTAATCAATGAGCCATATTTTTTGGGAATTATTGCCAACATACAAGCCTTTTTTAATGGATGGTGGAACTATAAAATGTAAATTAATGAATGAAAAAAAAGTGTAGTGAATTGTGTTTAGATATTACACAGTGCCTTGTAGGCGTTACATATTATTTTCTCATTTAATTTCACAATGAAAATATTTCAGGAGAGTTGGCAATGTTGTTATATTTTTTATTTCTTTACAATTTTATATACGTGCAAGGTGTATATATTCTTCTTCTAGATATACATATATTGTTATATATTAGATAGCTTAGACAAACACTGAGATGTGATTGGTCCAGAGCTCGTCACGTGATATTAATTGTGAGGATCCAAATTGTTATATTTTCCTGGCCGGTCACTTTTCAGTGTTATATTAACCAGCTGGTGAAATGAATATATTTTTAATCAATGCATGTCGCCCTCTTGAGGACTGTATGTCACCAATTACACACATTACACCATTACCGTGGGTCATTTTTTTCTTAATATTTTGTTTTCATGAATTTTGTTTTCCCCTTGAAATTATTTTCCCCACATTTTCTAAGAATTTTTTTTTTCTTGAATTATCTTGAAATATTATTTTCCGTCAATTTTTGTTTGCATCTCTTTTTCTAAAATGTTGATTGTCCCCGAAAAAAAAAATCGGGCAAAAAAAATATGGACCCCCCCTCAAAAAAAAAAAATCAAGCCAAGGCTGACTGGCAGGGGGTATATAACATTCTTTGGACCTGAAGGGAGTTATATTTTCCATCGTGACTATATTTTCCTCGAAAATATAACCACTTGGGAAATATAACTCCCTTCAGGCTTCAGCGGTCCAAATAATGTTATATTACACCCCCTGCCAGTCAATAACTGTATATTGTACGAGGTAAATTTTATTATATCCTGCATCAAAAGTTTGTTGGCTTTTGATTGGTTGAGAGCTCGTCACATGACCAGAAATATTTAACCTATTTTTAGAAAGTTCTATATGAGAGTACTATTTTGTTTTACTATTTGGGAGTTGAAAAAAAAATGTGAATTTTTTTTTGGAATTGAATCAATTTTGTTTTTCAAATCTTAAAAAAAAATTCAAAATATTTTAAATCTTTTTAGATAAAAATTGACATTTTTTTTGTTCTAAATTTTTTTCTCCCAAAAATGATTTTTTTTTTTTTTTTTTTTTAAATAAATTTTTGATGCAGGATATAAAACAAATATATCATGCCTTCTATCCGAGGTACCGGTTAAACTATGGGCCTCGGTGACTCCAAAAATACCAGTGTATATACATAATTACTTGGCGCCATATGAAATATGATAGCTGATATTCAGTGATAAAAAGGGTTTTTTTTGGGGGGGGGGGTTTGAGGGGGAAGTTACTGGTCATGTAATGACAACACTTGCAATAAATTGAAATAAACCAGTTAAAGTTCATATTGTCTTTTTTTATGAACGCTTGTGAGCTATTGGTGAGCTTGTGCATGCTATATCTCACAATGTCCCTTGCGAAATGGTTGAAATACATGTACCACATTCTGATGTCACACAAATGCTTATCGATAACGTATTTAATCTTAATGTTCACTACAATTTAGATGAAGGTATCCTCGTATCAAACCGTTTTTCCATTTTTATCTCTACCCCTCATTTATTTAAAAGTTTAAAACCAGATAGACATAATTTGTGGAGTTTACGTATAATGCTTGACAAAAAACATCGACAGAAAGTATCGTGTTGAGTGGTCTGTATGTCTCAATGCTACTGAAGCATTAAATACCTTAATACGAATTTTATTTCCACTGCAAACATCATCAAGATACAAATATCAAACAATACCTCGGGTTCCTTGGATCACAAGATCCTTACTCAAAGCAATTAATAGGATAACATACCACCTTTTTACGAATTGAATTTACACTGCAAACATCATCAAGATCAAAATATCAAACAATACCTCCGGTTACTTGGATCACAAGATCCTTACTCAAAGCAATTAATAGGATAACATACCACCTTTTTACGAATTGAATTTACACTGCAAACATCGTCAAGATCAAAATATCAAACAATACCTCCGGTTACTTGGATCACAAGATCCTTACTCGAATCAATCAATAGGAAAAATATTTAGAATATTCTACGTATCGCAATGTACTAACGTCTGTGTTCCAAGTTTACCAAGAAGACCAAGTCCACATGGAAAGTTATAAATATTGTTCTCAAAAAAGTATATTCATAAAATTATTCATGAATGAAACGAAAAAAAGTTCCCCTAGGTATCCCTAAAGCATTTAATTTTAATCGTGTAACTACTGGCCCAAATGATATCTTAACTAAAAATGAACCTTTTCATTCATTTTTAATAAATCAAAATCCCAAATCCCTCTTCTTTTCGCGGATACATATTGTTAGCAACTTACTGGCGAAAATAGTTCGGGTTATGATATGATTTGGAATAACAAATACATGTTATCGTCTTGCCATTAACTCATATATTCAATTCGCTTTTAGAAAATAGTGCTGTCTGTGACAAACTTAAATTGTCAAAGTAATACCTTTACATACAAAGGAAAAGAGGACGAGTCGGGAAACTATCGTCAAGGATCACTCACTTCAGTTTCCCAAATTATTGAAAAAAATTGTATATTCCGCTCGCACTATGAAGTTTCTCAATAATTTTAATATTGCCTTTCGTCAGAAACATTCAACAGTATAATATGCGATTCGTTAATCAATTGATAACGTTACCAAGGTGATGGGCAGCAAGCCTCACACGGTTTGTATCTTTCTTGACTTCTGCAGGGCCTTGGGGTGGTTCAGAAGTACCTGTCTAAAATGAGTCAATTTGTCAATTTGTCGGTATTAATGATTATAATCTAAATATACAACCTATTACTTAGGTACACCCAAGTCTCCCTTTTGGGTCCTCTTCTGTTTATCCTCTACGTCAATGGTTTTCACAAGTTCTCCTCTATTTTGTTCTCTTTGTAGATGACACAAGACCATGTATTTCATATACTCAAGATAATCCATCTTACAATTCGTATGGGATTGGATACAGGCAAATAAGTTGTTCCTTAATTTTAGGAAAAGTAATTATTTAATTATTAGTAATGAGTTACTTCTTAACCTGGTCAGCTTTTAATGAAGGGTTGTGAATTAATTCACATAGATATTACGTATTAGTCTTCATATTGATTGTAAATTATGATGGAAAGTCCATTCCGATTTCTTGTGTATTAATTTATAAATTACTTTCAAGAAATGTGGGTGTCATGCAGGGGCGTCGCTAGACCTTTTTCAGTGGAGGGGGGGGGGGGGGGGGTGTAGAGGCCACCGATTACAGACAAAAATAGCCACCAATTACCGACAAAATTTAATGTCCCACTGCTACAAATTTAACCCTATAAACCCTATAAACCCCGGAGCCTAAGGCTCAATTGTTTTTCATATGAACTATCTGTAGAACTTGCATATGCGCAAATGGTCCTTTTCCTCGACGACATAAATATACGAATTATTTCGTTAACTTAGTCAGCATCATAGCTATATATTTAAATGCAGGTGCGTATCTAGGATCTTATTTTAGGGGGCAGTAGTGAGCAAGCGAACTTCTTAAAGAGTGCGCAAAGCGCAGAAGTTTAGAAGTTTCATTAAATTATTAGAGAAAGAAGACGATTTGTTGTACCGTTCTCGACTCTTAATCCTTGTCTGAATGAAGTTTTTCCCCTCCCGCGCGACGCGCGGAAGCTTTGACGTTTTATTGAATTATTATAGAAAGAAGACGATACATTTACCGTTCGCGACTCTTAACCCTAATTGTCTGAATTCAGTTTCTCCCCCCTACCGCGAAACGCGGAAGCTTTGACGTTTCATTCAATTATTAGAGCAAGAAGACGATTCGTTGAAACGGTTTCGACTCTAGATTAGCCCTAATTGTCTGAATTCAGTCTCCCCCTCTCGCGCGGAGGGCGGAAGCTTTGGCGTTTCCTTAAATAATTAGAGAAAAGGACGATTCGTAGTACCGTTCTCGACTCTTAATCCTTGACTAAATGAAGTTTTTCCCCTCCCGCGCGAAGCGCGGACGGTTTGACGTTTCATTGAATTATTATAGAAAGAAGACGATTCGTTGTACTGTTCTCGACTCTCTATCTTTATCTGAATTCAGTTCCCCCTCCAAAGCTCAGACGTTTTCTTAAATTATTAGAGAAAGAAGACTATTCATTGTAACGTTCTTGATTCTTAATTCTTATTTAAATTTAGTTTCCCCGAACATTTTCTCTAATTTCTTTAGCTGATATTATAGGAAAGTGAATTTGAGAAAATACAAGTATTATAGTTGCAGTCTCTCTCGAAGTCGCAGTTCGTAGGAAAAAAAAACTTGTCGGCCGACCGACATTATACATCTCACCGACTTCAAACTTCTGCATTGATAATAGTACACGAGGATCGAGCAAGAATACCGACACAGGTGACCCGACATAGCAACATATTTATGCGTGTATTTTTGCTCCCTTGATGACACGACTCCACCCAACAACCGCCTTTCTCTTTTACTCCCAGGATACTCCCTAAAGATAAAGTAAAACAAAAAGAGGGGAGGTAACGGAAGAGGCTAGAGTGGGTGGGGGGGGGGGGGGGAAGGAGAGTAGGAAAGATAGTTGTGAAATATTGAGGGAGTAAGAGAGGAGAGAAAAATAAAGAGAATTATAGAGAAGCCGGGAGAGAGAAGGATGTAAGAGAACAAAGAAAGAGATGACAAAGGAGAGGGAGAGAGAGAAAGAGAGAGAGAGAGAGAGGGGGGGGGGGGGGTGAATATAGGGATAGCGGAAAAGAAAAGATGGAAACAAAAAAGAAAGAAAGACAATCACATCACACGACATCGGAATGTCCCAACCTCTACACATCCAACATGTTATTTGTCCATTTAATTTTTTTTTTATCATTACCCCGTCAGTGTAAATTCTTTTGACTGCTTCAAGCTTTAACCCCTATCTACCACCCCTCCCCTCTCTTTTCATCTATCTCTCTTCATCGTCTCTCTTCCCCTCCCCTTTCTCTCTCACACTCAAGCTCTTCCCCACTTTCCTCTCTTGCATCTCTCTCTCTCTCTTCCTTTCTCTTTCCCTCCTTTTTTCTCATCTCTCCTTCTATCTCTCATTCACTCTCC